ATCATTCGACTTAGTTTTTGACGCTGATTCTGAATATGCTATATTTATTGAATAGTAGTTGAATTTTTGTGGAGAAATTTTAGAATTACCGGCAGAATACTGATTTTTTCGTCACTAATTCAGAAAAATCAAGTTTTCTCCGCGAGGGAATGGAATTTTGAAAAAAGGGAGCCGTTCTTTTGAAGAGGAGCATTCGGCGAATCTAACTATGTAAAAAAAATGACTCCGGGAGAAAGCAGCTGCCGTTTTTGCTAAAATGAGACCTTTTTTTTAGTCGCTTCGCTTTTAACGTCTTTAGCGAATAGACGTTTAGATATATAAAGGCTTTTATGCCATATTCTGGTTCACTTTTCAACGCTGAACAAGAATATCTGAGTTTGAACGTTCCAAGTTGTAACCAAACTTACAAAAATCAAATTTAAAAAAAGGCGTGAAAACCCGGTTTTTGACCTCTTTATAGTATTTTACAATTTTCTCAGCGAGGAAACGGTTTTGAGAGGCCGGGAACACAATCGTGATCTGCGCGCGATTCTGTATCGAATGGTGTGTAAAATATGGAAAACTAAATTCTGCTCGATCTTTTGCCTTACATTCTTAGACATGTGAAGAAAATACGCATAAAAGCTGTCCCACTGGTGCAATGACTCTTAGTCAAATAAATTTTAAGAACCTCCCCAAAGAATTTCAAAGTGATTCTGATTAGACATGCATCGAGTCCGAATCCTACATGACATAGTCGCACTCGATTACTCGATACTGGACACTACTCGATTGTTCCTCTAGTATCGAAACCAAAATATAAGACCAGTAGCCATTTTTTGAATAACTGCTGAACAAATGTAAATGGTTCGCACTATTCGATAGCCAAGACATACGAGCATGTTTCGTAAGCAGAAAGTATTTTTTTTTAGAAATGTCTTTTCAAACAATCGAGTAGCGAAAATCGTGAGTCTTCATCTACAGTCGTTACAGTGCTTGCTGATTTTCACACGTAAACACCATTCAAGAAAAAGTTTTCTGCTTATAAATATATAGGCTAAACTGCCCTCTTTCAATTGCCGTAAATCGCAAGTCTTCGAAGTGGATTTCGTTTGTCTCAAAATGGTACAACAAACGACCGTGGCTAGAATACTCTATTCAAAACGGCAAGTGTTATTGTTTCAATTGTCGACATTTTTTAAAGTATGTTAGCTAAACTGCGTCGCGAAGGTTAAAGATTTTGTTTCTCACCTGTTTTTTATTAAGATATTAAAAGATAGCCACACCCCATTCTTTTTTCTTAACCGACAGTAGATAACAGTTCACTATATACACACACGAAACAAACTAGAAAGGTCATGATAGGCCATAACCAAACTATAGATGAACTTTCTTCACATGTCTACAACTTTTCTTTTTACTGAAGATGAATATCGATTCAAAGCTGTGTTTTTGAATAATTTTCAATTATCCAAACAAATTACCTGCAAAATATGAATACTTTTAAAAACTTTTTATTTTTATTTTTCCAACGTTTACAAATTTTTAATACTGAACCTAACTTTTATGCTTTCTCATTCATTGCATTTGTACTTACATTTTTGCTTTCTAATAGAAAGATATACGCTTTTTTTTTTCTACATGAGTTGAGAAAACAATCCATTGACATTTATTAGCGTTAAGTTCCACTAGCATGCTCTCATACCACTCCGACATTTCGTTCACACATTCTTGAGCTGCCCTTAAATTTGCATTTTCAAGATCCACAACACAGAAAACATCGTCGACGAAAAGAGAAGTCAGTTTTGAGGCTCCCAGGGAAGTCGAAAGATCATTAATAAAGATCAAAAAGAGAATTGGACCTAAAATACTACCCTGTGGCACTCCTGAAGTAATGGTTACTCTTTTGGAGAGGGCAGATTCTACAGAAACTACTTGTGATCGATTGGACAAATAAGATGCAAACCAATTGTACAGATCTCCATGAATACCCGCATGTGATAATTTTCCTAAAAGAATTTGATGGGGAACTTTATCAAATGCCTTTTCAAAGTCAAATGACGCTCCTATTAATTTCTTTTTATCGCTGAGACAATTATTTATAAAATTAGTTAAATAAATTAGAGCATATAGAGTAGATGACCGAGGACGAAAACCAAATTGTTGGGCACAGAAAAAATTATTTTTTCAATCTTCAATCATTTGTTGATTTGGTTCAGTTATTGAACTCTATGCGATTAATTGAATATTTGAACATTGATCTTTATAAAGATTATATGTTAAACAGCGTACATAATGATGAACCAGTGTCATTTAGATTCATTTCAATAAAATTAAAACATTTAATAATGACCCTAATGAATATACAGTTTGATGCTATTGAGAAATTTTTCTCAAATTTGTCATCATCATCTATTAAGTATTTATCATTTTATGCAGCTAATTTATCATTTATCAACGGTCAACGTTGGAAATGTATATTGTCAAATTACTTTCATCGATTAAAAACATTTAGATTTTACATCACATACCGATGTATACTAAAATCATTTTCGACCACTATCAAACAAACTTTACAGGTATTTCAAACAGATGATTGGCTAGAGCATAGATGGTATTTTATGTTTGATTATTGTCCAATAAGAGAACAATTAAATTTTTATTCTTATCCATTCAACGATAAATGTTATGTTACTGAATTAAATATATTTCAATCAAAATATGATGATGAATCAGTTGATAATTCAACAACCTCCATAAACGATAAAATTAATGAATTATGTATGACATTGGCAAATAATAATACTAATATAAATATTGAACAATTAAAGAATGGATTTGGGAAGATTAGAAGTAAAGATTATCGAAATTTCAGGTGAAAGAACATTCATCGGACTTCTTGACCACTCATATTGTTTTGTCAAGAATCGAGATTTACAAATGAAATACTATTGAGATAACCTTCATTTTCTCTCTGAATATTCACGATTATACAATAGAACACGAGAAGCTGACCGATTATTTCTGACAGTAGATGCTGACTGACGAGGGAACCTTTCTAACTGTTCAATCGCTGTATTCACCAAACGTAGTGTGTCCTGGTGTATCGATCACTCTGATCCCGAATATCTATATGAGACGGGCTGCTACGCCTTTCTAGAGGGTTTTTTCTGGAAAACTGATTTTCCAGAAACTCCAAAAGATCTTAAGTCATGTCAGTAGCCCGCTGGCTTCCCACTCCGCCTCTTTTTCCTCTTTTTTTCTATAAATCCACTTTTTGGCCTCTTTTTGAGGAAAAATCCTCTTTTTTCACGAACACAGTACCTATTGACGAAAAAATCCGTCATTGTTGGTTCATTCGGTAGTTCACAGTTTCATTTATCTTTGTGAACACATGTTCGCTTCTTGTTTCCATTCTGTCAAGACAATACCACCACTCTATGTATATGTCGCCCCTGGAAGAAAATAGTTAGACTCGATATTTGTAACATATTATTACTATAAATTTACATTTTTAGAAAAGTAATTGTATACTCGGATAGCGCGCAGAATTCTCTACAGCCCTGTATATGTACGTTTTGAATTGCGCTTGTTCGTTAAAAGGAAATTCAAGCACAGTGAAGGCACCCTCATCATCAGATTCCCCGAAAATGCATTTTTTGTTCCTTTTATATAATTATTCATAAATGACCAAAAGTGAAATTCCGAGACCGTGTTCTTCGCCTTTGTGAAAAGAATACCATGTTATTAATAAACTATTAAATTTCAAAAAATATTCTAAGTTGTAGAGTAAACATTTCTCCACAAACTGGTATGAGTTTGAGATTTTTGCACGATTACTTTCACCGTTCTCTGATTGTTTTTCAGATACCGCTTTTTGGAGCTATATTTAGAATGGTTATAACTCACAGATGACACATCATTCGAAGTCACAAAACACCGCATTTTCTTTAGAAATGTTCAAATGTACTCGACAAACTATAAGCAGTTTTCAAATAGGCTTAAGTTTCCTTACAGTGTTTCCCTGCAAACGAGACAAAAAAGGGGACCGTTGTCCAAAAACACTCGATCTGCAAAAATCTTTGTAGAATCTGCAGTTTTTCTGCAATGCAGACGTGCCAAGATTTGGGCAAAGACCTGATGCAGATCTGCAAAAAAATCTTTGCAGATTCTTTGCAGAACAACTGCAGTTTTTTGCAGATTTTTCAGTGTGCTGTGGGACTGTGATATACAGTCCCTGTTCTTGGTCAAGACACGTGTTCAAAAGCTCAAAAACTTCTTCTTTCTCGAACACTATCCGAGTACTTTGAAGTATTTTGATTTCCACTCGATGTTTTTAGGGACTGTGAGACGCTAAGAATAGTGTACCAGATGCAGAATTTCAATTCTCTATCCAATCGAGTCATTTTCGATCTCTGTTCTTGGACAAGAAATGTGTTTAAAAGCTCAAAAACTTCTTCTTTCTCGATCACTATCCAAGTACTTTGAAGTATTTCGAATTCCACTCGATGTTTTTAGGAACTGTGAGACGCTAAGAATAGCGTACCAGATATAGAATTTCAATTCTTTATCCAATCGAGTCATTTTCGATCTCTGTTGTTGGTCAAGACATGTGTTTAAAGGCTCAAAAACTTCTTCTTTCTCGATCACTATCCGAGTACTTTGAAGTATTTTGATTTCCATTAGGTGTTTTTAGGGACTGTGAGACGCTAAGAATAGTGTACCAGATACAGAATTTAATTCTCTATCCAATCGAGTCATTTTCGATCTCTGTTCTTGGTTAAGAAATGTATTCAACCGCTCAAAAACTTCTTCTTTCTCCATCACTATCCCAGTACTTTGAAGTATTTTGATTTCCACTCGATGTTTTTAGGGACTGTGAGACGCTAATAATAGTGTACCAGATGCACAATTTAATTCTCTATCCAATCGAGCCCTTTTCGATCTCTGTTCTTGGTCAAGAAATGTGTTTAAAGGCTCAAAAACTTCTTCTTTCTCGATCACTATCCGAGTACTTTGAAGTATTTTGATTTCCATTCGGTGTTTTTAGGGACTGTGAGAGTATATAACTACCTCGATATTGATTTGCCGAGATCTCGTCCTTTTTTAGATAAAAAATATATACAATGTTCAGTGTGTGTCTGTGCCCAGGTCAAAGGTCACCGAGTGGAGTTATCATGCTCAAGAGAATTCTAG